GGGAGCTTGACTATTCCAGTCCGTTTCGTTTGCTTCCCGTGTGTTCCCGCCGTGGGAGGAACCGGCAATAGCCGCGGTAAATCAACAAAAAAGCTGTCGCGAAACTTTCCTCGGGACCGAATCGTATGGAGCCTTCTGGCGAGGATTCCTCATTAGCTAGCGAAAATGGAGCGTTACTGCAACACTGCTGTAAGTCTTCTTCTTTGAGAAATAGCCGATATCCAACGTCTCTGGCTGTCACTCACGAATTTGATACAACCAGGTGGGATCTGTTTCTCAACCCGCAGTGCTCGTTCATTGTCCTTTCTTCAAGAGCAGATATTCGACTTATGAGAAGTTCTTACTTCCAAGCAACGAAAAGAAGGCTAGCCCATCCAGCTCGTATTGGAGAGGCTCCGAGAGCGTACCGACCGTCCCCAGAGCTAAGCTATTCGAGAGAGACAAGAATGTTGATCCGTCACGAGACTCGCGCCCACCACTCCACCCCCTTGAGTTCTGTCAGGTTTGCGTCGGAGGTGAGTGGGTATCAGTGAGGTCGCTGTATTATCTTGGTCGAATCTCGCAATCCTCAAATGAGAGAGCATGCTCTGATCACCGAGCATGGTCTGAGAGATCTTGTGTTGACGGGCTTCCTCTTATCTACGGGCACTCTTCCAGACCTACATTTGACGGACACTATCCAAGCATCAGTGGCGTACACAGGATTTTTCTTGGGGAAGGGGGGGGGGCTAGATAGGGTCTCCGCATGGGGCTGGAATCCAGTATGGAGATTCGCTCCTGTACTACAGCATTGCGAAGGGAAATCTGGGAGGGGCCCATAGCCCCCGCTGCGTACGCCCCTGCCAAGCATGGACTCCGCGCAGTTGTACAACGGGAAGTCAACTAATGCGACCTCAGCGGGGTGTCGAACGAGACGTATGTACATGTACGAGCTTCCATTCGTTTGTCCCTTCTCGACGCCAGGATTTCGAGGTTTCCGAGAGTTTCGATAGATATGATAGATCATCCGATCCGAACGGGAATGCTCCTATCAATGAGCACCCCGATTTGACGGGCGCCGATCTGGGGGCTCAAAGGAACCCTATCAAGGAGAATACGGTACGCACTAATCATGGTCTCTAGTACCAGACAGCGGACGGGAACATATTCCGGCCCCTCATCGAAGATCGAATCGAGGGTCGTTCCAATCGTGCCAACTTGGGATTTGATAGACCCGCGAATGTATGGATGCTGCCCCCCTCCACGGGAGATTTCTCTTGAGACTCCCAAATGTGATTCGCTGAGAGACTGCAGCCAACCTCTGCCCGCCGAAACGCCGAATAACCAAAAACCGTCGGAAGATGGTATCCGCCAGCCGCTAGCGGATCCCACGGCGACAGCCCCACCCAATCTTCATGTAACAGGAGGAAAGCGTCGGTCGGCGCGGTCGACCAGCGGTCGTTCTATGACCATTGTACCCATGCTTCCAAGAAAATTATCACACAAAAGCAGTCTTTGACTGAAGGCTCACCGCGGGAAGAGGGGGCCTCGATGTCGGAACTGTGCGATTGCGAATTCGCGGCTTGCTAGTCGAGTGGCTGAGACCAACTCCGTCGGCAGACTTCGGGAGCATGTTCATCCTTTATCCGGACCCCGAATGAGACTGCTTCTCCAGTAGAAGATGGGGACCCATCGCTTTCCCATTGTGGGATGTTATCGATTTTGGACCAGAGCGTTCCGACTCAAGTTCAAAAGTTCCCTCCCATGCAGAGCGAAGTACGCGCCGTGGCGGAGCGCGGTGGTCGTGGTGACTGGGTCCAAGGCTGGTTTGACAAATTAAGGTCGACGTGACTTCATTCTCTCGACCACCAGAAAGCACCTTGTCGAAGAAACTGGGTAATCGTTCGAGAAGCTCAGAAGTTTTATCGAGCCTCCAAAGGGGATCGTTCGGCTCACACAATGCTCCCGACAAAGGTGGGTGTGCATCCGAAGCAAAAAAATACGCACTGTCTCAGGGCTCTGCTTTTCACGCCTCTGCAGGCCTGTTTGAATTCCCGTAGAGTGTGTGACTCTGAAGTTTTCTCCGACTCCCTAAAGATCTCTCTTCGATGAATGGCCACTGACTAATCCAGATATCGACAATACGGAACCTTCGGGAAGACTTGCCTTGCTTAATCGTTCTTGTGAGGTAAGCCAGAGATCAATGTTTAGTGTGGCATTTCGATCGGAGCGTGGTATCCGAGGTCCGGATCGAGCTCGATGGAGATATCACGATCTCCGGTCGGAATATCTTCAGACTTTCCCTGCGATCAGTCGCTTCCGCTAATAATACAAACCGGATTGTGTAAGGTTCGGGATAGACTTGATCTTCCACAGAATCAGATCCTTTATCGATCGAATATCTGGAGAATTCCCAGGGTTAGCAGGGCTTGAACAGAAAAAAAAATCCGAAAGTCTTCGTGGCCTCTACCGTGCCCGGAAACATCTTCCGAAAACCCGAGGATGGCTGTTCCTGAGGCGATGTCTCAATTCGATGGCTAACATCGGGATTACATCTGAAAGCGTTGAGTCGGGGGACGGATACGGTAGCCTTGAGAACGAAACCAGATCCATTCACGATGTGGAAAAGGAAACCAGACAGAGGGATCGCTTGAGAAGAGGGAGTGTTGAGCTATGGAACGTAGTGAGGGTGAGTCCTTCAGGGAAAGGGCTGCGGGGCTTAAACTGCATGAGGTTTTGCTCTATTTGCCACTCTGACTAGATTCGCGGGAGCAACAATACGTCGTATTGGCTTTCCGATCGATAATGGTCGGGGACTTCATCTGAATGTTAGTTATTCATGATTCCGGATAAACTCCGATAAGGTGAGTCGCGAACCCGAGCAAGCTTCTAATCTTATCATGCGATATTTCCTACGGACGCACGGTTGGGTCGACGCCTCAAGCCATGCTTTCGAAAGGAAATCGAGTGAGGGAATGTCTAAAATTCTATGCTCGAAATCGGATCACGATATTTTCGAGGAGAATTGGTCCCAAACAGTGGACTCACAGACACGCAAACTGTGTGTTTCCACTGTGGATCTCCCGCGGATCCTGAGAACAGGCGGGACGATTCGGTGATCGGATCTCTATAGAGCGGACCCATACGCGACATCCTCGCCAACATCCCGATATGATTACCTCTATTCGCAGTGTGATGTCTCCAATCTTCGGAAGAGCTCTCTTCTACGCCATAATTCTGCCGGTATTGCTACCCTCGCTCATCCACGATACAGCTGTGAGTATTCCTATCCGTCGAAGCAAGCTGCTCGGGAATTCGCTTGAAGATATTCATACATATACTTCGAAACTCCGGCACGGAATACCTGGCGACGTCGAGCTCCCTCCGTCGATGATCGGTTTGTCGCTGAGAGACACTGTAATTGTATTGAAGTCTTCGTAGTCAAAGAACTGTTCTTCGGATTAGGCCGGAAAGGAACCTCCGTCTCGCCTATGATTCTCCTGCATCGATCAGAGATTACAGTATTATTGAGCTGGAGGCGTTCTCCCAGAGGGAGAATCGCCAAGTTCAATCTCTGTACCAGGTCCGAATCTGGGGGCGAGTCTCGAAGGTGCGAGGGTCTCAGCACCATGGGGGATCCGTCGTTGTGTTTCTTTACGTTGAGTCGATCCGAATCCTCGTCATCGATTGGGAACACAATTGCCGTAGTAATTATGTCCCTTGACCCTCGAAGGACTGCGCGTTAATCAATCACGGCAAAACATTCGAGTTCGCATACGAGACGCGCGACGAGGAAGGCAATATGAAAATGCATCAAGAAGTACAAGACCACATGGGCCACAGGAAGGGAACTTATGGCTATCGACATGCGAATGGGCTGTACCGGTGAGTGACGCTATCCAATTAATATTCTCTTTATAGTATATCCGCTCGGCTCGATTTCCGCACTTCATTCCTATCTCGTGGGAGCAGGTTCGTCGATTACGTTGCTGATAATTTCGGCTACCGAGTGACCGTCAGAACGAACGAGCCTGGGACTAGCAACGTGCTTGGGGCTCATGTAACTGTGCGCTCCAACCCGAGGCTGGAGGCCGTAGAAGACCCACAGCGCAACAATTCGCGCCCACGGGGCCTCGAAAAGCAAGCTCCGATCGCGCTGCTGACAAGCCAAAAAGAGTCGAACGGACTCGCTTCACGAAGACTTCAGTTGCAATCAGCCGTAATCTTCCCAGCTCCTCCCATGATTCGACCACCCAAATACAGACCGCGGTCGATTCGTGTTGCGCCTTCGAACATCATTCAGCCGGCTTTCAGAAAGAGTCGGACCTGACGCAAACTTTGTGCAAATAAAATGCCGGCTTCAAGTATTTATTCAATGTTCCGAGGGCTCTTCATGAATATTGGATTTAATTACTGATCGATGCTGACCACACGTCCGAGGGTTAGGTATCAGGTGCCCGACTCTCAGATGCCCGACATGTCGAGAAGCTGTCCGGAGGTCGAATAAATTTCCATGAGGTCTGAAAGAAGAAATACGTCTGATCGTTTCCAAGGAAGCCCCCGACAGTGGAGCCGAGACGATGAGAGCTGGCCCCGGGATCCGCGGAACTCGTGGAATTACAGAAGGTTTCGATTCGTGCCGAGGTGGGGTCTGATGCTTGCGTTATCCGTGATTCTTCATAGAGGGGAGCCTCCGGATGTTTGAAGGAGCGCGCGTGTGAAGTAGCCTGCGAGAGAGACTTTGTGCTATAGCTCTCGAGCTCAGACGACTGATGCCATTCTAGTAGATGAACACCGCTCCTCAGAATCTACAGCCTGAGGATGGTCATCACTTTCGGGCTCGACGTATTTTCTCGCTCCGTGAACCTCGATTCCAGAAGTTCTTCGTCCCTCGGGTCCTTGGAGCAGAGGAATCGTAGCGCATCTCAAAGCTGACGTCGGTTTAGGGAGAGAGCATTCATTCTCGTGGAGAGGGTCAAGTGAGCAGCTGAGTAGGTTGAGAAGCCACCAACTAGACGCCCGGTCTCCTTCCGTGGCTTCCGCGTGCTGCCCGGATACTCAAGAAAGGTTAGATGGTATGCATAGGAACGTTCTGTCGATTCGACGTAGATTCCTCAGTATTCACTATTGATTTTCCGGCGCTATCAACGCCGCGCCGCAAACTTTCATGATCCATGGTGGACTGCGTCGGCGTTGAGAGTGATTCTACCATTTACCTGGAGTTGGGTTGAGTCATCTGTCAGCAGATGCAGCGTTCTCTCCATCGAGTCCCGATAAACGATCGCGTGCCACCTTCGTGACTCGAGGGAGCCGCGAGCAGTTCTCAGCTGCGGAAGAAGGTTACTTCGTCTTTCTCCGCAATGGAAGGGTGCCTCTTTCTTATCCCTGTTTCTCAACTGTGAGATACTATGGATCATGTTCGGAAGGAGTCAAAAGTCAACGTTCATTCCCTTCATCAACGGCAGAGCCCGAGGAACCTCATCTCGCGAACGGAATAACACCGAGTGCAGGGAGTCATGATGAACATCGCCTGAGCTCTACCCTAGAATCTTTGAGGACTTGATGTCTGAGCAGCTTATTTGCACCAATCGTCCCAAAGCACCATGTTTGGTGGAAATCCGGTGACCTCGGCCGATGGTTTGCCCTTGGAGCTCCATACTCAGAATGTTCCAGTTGTTCAGTACCAAATGCCACGTGTGATCCGGGAGCTCCCGAGGCCCTCGAAGGCTCCTATCCTTGTCGACGCGAGCTCGATATGACCGCAGGCGTGCTCACCATGCTCCGAGTGTTTGATGTGCCGCGTAGCCGCAAAGGACGGACGTGCCTGATGGAGAGCTTCCAAGGGGACTGGGAACAAGGTCTTCTCTAATTGGCTGGGAGTCTAGGAGGGATTGATATGATCACGGATGAGGATTCGTGAATTCGGAATGATTCATGCGCTTCTGCCCTCCTCGTGGTTCCATTTCGCGGAGCCTCGCTGGCGTTCATTGGATTACATCGAAATATTGCCCTGGTAGCTTGTTGCAACGTTGGTCAAGCTTGATTGCCGACCCGAAGTTCCTTCAAGAATCTTAGGTGAATCCCCGCAGCCCCTCTGGCGCACGTATCTCCTTAGACTTCCGCATTGCCTCGACGTGACGCTGCGCGGAGACGCGAGGGGATGCAGGAATGTAGATCCGTGGCTTCCGCGATCGAACTTACCAATCATCAGATGAAGCTACCTGAGCGGTCGGTGATATCAATATAACAATTCAGGAACTCTTTCCCGCAGCTTCGGCGATGGCGGGCCTCATCAACATTTTCGGAACCAACGAGCACCTCTCAAGCTTGGTGGAGTTTTCGAACTGTCATGTCGTCGTAGATGGCTCGAATCTCCAGCACTTAATAGGCACCCAGAACAGTGCGCTTTCGAATCTTCCTGCCTACGAAGAGTCGGTGGCGAACTTCTTCAAACACTTTCTCAATGCGGGGATTACACCCCACGTGTTTTTTGACGGACCTTCGAGAAGTAAGGTTTTATAAGTATCTCCTATATCCAGATTATTCTTCTTCGATATAATCAAGCGAATGGATGAGTCCATGATTCGTTGGAGAAGGAGAATTCCTACGTCTCGGCTCTTTTCTCTGCGCGCAGGTGATTCGTATAAGTGGGGACGAGCTAGGGAGCGTCGAGAAGAACGTTTAGAGAGACTGAGCAACGCACCCCGCGAAACCAAGCGGTCTGTCTTCGAAATCCCGGCTCCGACGGCCGTACAGGACATATTCCGAGACGTTATATACTCTCTGGGTATCCGGTCAGTTCAGGTGAGATCTTGTCGTTCTCATCGGCGCGGCGCAAAACCTCATGAGGCTCCTCTAGCGGGTGCCTGAAGAAACATTCCGCTACAACGGGCGACTCCTTCCAGGTGTCTGCCAAGCGTGACTATACTCTCGAAATGATTTCACACGCCAAATACCATAAAGCTTTCCTGGTGTCTGGGAATACGAAGTTCTTCGTGGAAGACATACCGAAAGGTTTCGTTTGTATCATCGCGGGGAGGCACCAATATTTCGAGTCGCGATCGCAGTGCATTATGAAGACGTTTCATTACAAGAAGCTCACAGAGCTCATCGGTTTGGGTCGGTTTCACGGATTTACTCAGCGATACACATCGTTTCCGTTCTGATCGCTGATGACGCCGATACACAAGGGATGCTCTGGTTCAAGACTCCGTTGTTCCGCAGACAAATCGCCAAATCCTTACGCGCTCACAATGTGGAGGACTGCCCTATACCACAGGGATGTATTCGGGAAATTCACCGAGCAGTTCGGCAAACAAGCCCACCCGCCACAGTTTTATCCGAGGTCCAGGTGCTTCTGGATGCAGAGCTTGTTGTCTCAGAAATGTCGGAAGTAGGTTGGAAATTCATAATATTGGGACTCCGCGACGGCGAAAAGCGGGAGAAACGATATACCGGAGTCTTTTGTGGGGAATCCGCTCAAATAGGCTCCAACCCATGAATCGATGTTAATTCGCAGAGTTACACACTTGAAGCTCCTCCAGTTCTTCCTCGAAAATAAGTGTGCGGACGCTGAGCGAATCGTCTGTGGACAGGTGAGTAATTGGTCGGTACTCGCTGTGCATGTGAAGGACTCGTCTAGGCGCGATATGAATGCCGTCGAAAAGTCGTCCTCCCGGAGCATCAGATCGGTACTCTTCCCAGTTGAGTCCCGGAGACCGTGGAATCGCGAAGCTCTTCTTCCAACAAAACATCGCTGCTCAGCTCACCACGCCAGATGACGTTTTTGAGCGCATCGCGAACCAAATTGAGTCTGGAAGTTTTTGCGACGATGATCTTCCCCAGTGGTTCCTCCGTTACCTCACGATCGAGGTGAGTGTGCAGCGTGTGATGAATCGACCCCCGGAACCAATACCCCGGAAACACCCCGAGCTGACTCCGAAGCGCTCCAATTCTAGTGTAAGGTGGTTCCTGGATTGATGGATACACTGACAGATCGTCGCCATTACCTGATGGCACTCACAGAAGACTTCAACAGAGAGTCCGTGAATAAGACTACAGTTCGCCTTCGTCGCATCATCTACGGAATTCTGTTCTCTGATCGCAAAGACTCGGGAGGGCCCGTAGAGGTCTTAGGTGAGGGAAAATCGAGGCCAAAAGACGGACAGTGCGTTGTATTTGCAGACCCGAAGCAATACGCGGACATTACTTCTGATCCTACGTAATGCTGGATTTCCTCCGCAGAGCTCGACCGAGAAGGTATGGAACTCCGAGAGGCTTCGCTCAAGCCCATACGGAAGCTGTGGAACCCGAATGAGCAGTACGAAGGCCACGATGTTCCGGGCTTGAAAGAAATGGAGTGCCTTCCGGAGCCTGAGCGCATTAAGCTATTTCTGTTGAGTTTGGGTGAGTACAACCATGTATGAGCTGCTCTTTGTCTCCGTGCGTACCACGCTTGTTGGAGCAGCATGACACCGAAAGCTTGCCGAGAAGAGGCTCGGGCCTCTGCCCGATGAGCCACAGAGGACCCTATCTCTTGGAACTTCCCCGAGGATTCCTCCTCTCAAAGCACCGATTCGACCGAGAGGAGAACCTTTTCTATGTACTCGGGAAGATAAAATTATCCGAGACGAGCGACCGGTGTTTTTGGCGGTCGGAACTCGGTCGTCCAAGCGCTCGTGCAGATCGTCAAACGGAATTGTCTCGAATGTGAGCTCGCGAACGGCTGCAAGGGTGTCTGGCATGGCCCTGAGCACCTTCTGCCGAGGCGCACCGGAGGCTACTACGGAGAGAAGACAATGTTTCCTTGAGGAAAGCGTCATGCTACTACGTTTGCAGGAGTTGAGGAAAGCCTACGCCAAAAGATCGACTCCAAAGAAGTGCTGTATGTCATAGCTGTGCTGAGGTACTGGTCTGTCGCCGCCAAGGGAGTACGCAAGCAAGATCTGCTGCGCATACTGCTGACGGCTCTGCTCGTCGAAAAAAAGTGAGTTGCAATCAGGTGCCCCATTTACATACATATTCCTCATCCAGCGGGGCTCGCGAAAGCGAGGCGCACAGCGGCTTATTCTCACGGAATACTCGATGCCCCCGCTCTCCGATATTGCAGGTACTCGAAAGTGAGCAATGTATTCAGAAAACCGGTGCGTCTCAGGGAGCAAGAATACATTAATCTTGGCATTGACTTCGAACCAAGCAGCGTCTCGATGCTCCTCCTTGGAACGTTCGCCCATATGCACCCACTTGCGCAGCTGCAAAACTCCACGCTGTTTGGGCGAACTCTGCATCGACTCCTCATGCAACCACTGGGCGCGACGTCCGATTGTATAGAAACCATCACGAGCGAGGTAGCCTTCCATCATATCTACAACCTGACGAACAGAATGACTGAAGCCGAGTTGGAGGAATTCGTCTTAGACTTGGTCCATGAAGACAGCAGGGGAAACTTCATCGACACCTTAAATCTGATTTGGGACGAGGAGGCACGAAGTTTGGGGGAAATCATTCTCAGCGGTTTCCGCGGAGACGATGAGTTGTAAAGCACATGGAGTCCATGAAACTCCGTTTGTCGAAGCTCCGTTACGGGTAGCCGTATCATATCATGGCGGCCAATGATACCTCATGAATGCCGACGATCTTCCCCCATTTCCAATGCATGGGCGGTGAAGAGAGCTTCATCAGCTGTTTTTCCCCACTAAAGAATATGAAATAGACCTGATAGATACCGGACAAGAGACCGTGATCGATCTCTTTTTAAGTCATTAATAAAGAGAAATGCGCACCGGTGCTAAAAGCCCGTCTCATTGTCACCTGACTAGATTTCAGTACTTTCATCCCAGTAGGTTTTCTTGTGCCGAGACACATGATACGATAGGCCGGCATGAGAGACATACGATCACGCAATTTTTCACGATACATCAACAACATCAATGATACAACAACATTCTAGACGGAAGGTTGGAGGATCCTCAGCGTTTCGCTTCAGCAGATTCGGGGAAGGCTCACCACCATCTCGCGCCAGAATGCCCATTAGGGGCAAAGATAGGGCTCTATTCCTCTCGGCTTTCGGCCGTCCGAAAACCTAAGAATGAGCCAGATGGAAGTGGAGACTGTATTCTTTGCGTTCGTGCGATCACTCTCAGATCAGAGAAGAAAGTTTCCGTCGCTGACATCTGACCATGAACCCGGCATCATGCGGAGGTTCGGACTGGGACTACCCGAAACCTCCGGCTGATGTCTGGATTCCAAACACGACGAGGTTCCGGGGAGCGCCTGATTGCTCAGACGTCGATACAATACACTTCCAGGCATAGAGAACTTTGGCTGGCGGCGGCTTCGGGGTTGTCCTCGTGGGGAGTCTCGCAATTGAAGTTCGATTGGCGGCGTGAATCTCGTAGACGGGGTCTACCCAGGAGTCTTGCGGCAGAACTATCTGCCTGGGCATCGGTCTAGACGCTCGTCGTCTATTTGTTCCGGGGATGAGCTGTTCGCGATGATGTAGCTGCCCGCATATGGTAATTTGAGCAGACGTCTCATCGGAAACTCCACGAGGAAGGTGTGACACGACTCGGTGGGACCGTACTAGCGAGGAACCAAGAGATGAAGGGACCAATGCGGTTTGAAGACTTCGGTTTCGAACGGATGTGCCGAGCTCTCCGAAACCATCGTCGAATGTATCATGAGTAGGGCTCGACTTCCGTCGCGGCTTTTTAGCCGGATTGAGCTCTTCAGGCTCCCATAGACTTTCTTTAGGGAAACGCCTCGCAAGGCAACGAAAATCGCGGTCACGGTCACGGACCGCGACGAAAGTCGAGCCCTGAATCATGAGTCATGAGGGGCCGAGAGTGAGCAGGTTTTCACACGAGAAATCGGTCGAGGAGTGAATCTCTTGCAGCTGCGAAAGATTCTGATCCAGACGAGGTTATAGAGCTTCAATATTCAGTGCCAAGATGCAAATGATGACAGCGAGTTTATCTTGTTGCTGCCTGATATCGAGGCGGGACCAGAGCCGCGAACAGCGAAATGTGCACAGTTGTGAATCTTCCCCGTTCGTTTTAAGTCCGCGTCGAAGTTCCTTCGGAAGGCATGAGAGGAAACATCCAAAGACAGTGGATCGATAATCAGATCTTCAGTCTCCAGAGCGAGACCAGATGATGATAACGACTTCGATGACAATTTTTCGAGCTCGCTCTGCAGGGTGAAGCGCTGAGTCCACCCAGGACGCGGTCCAACCTTGATTGAGTACGCGTCAAGCGTCAACCACCAAGGAAATCTGAAGCCCCGACCGGCGAACGCGGGCATCAGCGGAATGGTTCCAAGAAAAAAAACGGTCGTGGATCGCGCATATGCCCGGGCTCTGAGTTTGGGGGCATCCGGCAATCGAGTGTTTCGTTTTCTATTCGAATTGCGGTCTCCCCACGTGCCCTAGCGGAATGTTCCCCGTAGTTGGGGGACTATAACACTCCATCCATCACCAATCACCAGTCACGAGGAACTCGTAGGGCCGATGAAGACGAAGTTATCCATAACATGGGTACATCTTCCAGCTTCCAGCACTTGCTGGCTGACTTGCTGAGGTTTCATTCGAGAGTCGGCCAAGTGCAACGAGCTCGCGAGATACGTGCTCTAAGATCCAAATACCCGTAGACAGTGGTGGCATCAGACTTCAGACCAGAGGTCCGCTTGGGGTATGAGCGAAATCGTGAGGCCTTTCGGCATTTAGACTAGTCCTTCGAAAAGGTGGAATGTAGCGGACTAGGGACGAATATCGATTTGTCTACGTCCCGAAGACTAGACCCCGCTGGTCCACCCACTTAGTTTGATCAGTAAGTAGGGAGCTCACTCATTGTCAGTCTCTGGATTTCCTGCCGTATTATATGGAATCTATTAGAGACGGCAAAAGTCTGATGTTCGATGGACTCCGATCACGACAGGGATGCGCCGTGAATTCTATTCCCCGCCGTCATGCTCTTCGAGAGTCCGGGGGGAATCGGCGTTGTTTAATGCTTCAAATGGTTCCTCTTTGCAGTTGCAGTCATGACGGGCCTGTGCAACATTTTCGCTCCCAACGGCTTCCTGACGTGCCTTGAAGAGTTTTCCAACTGTCACGTTGTTATCGATGGTTCGAACCTCCAACATTATTTCTCAAGCCGGAGAAATGCACTCTCGAATCTCCCGGACTACGAGATGTCAGTGAGGAATTTCTTCCAACACCTTCTGGATGCCGAAATCTCACCCCATGTATTCTTCGACGGTCCTTCGAAACGTAATTACTCGGTTTCCATTTCCGCGAAGCTTTCCGTTGATAGTGTAGCATCTCCATTCGATGCAGCGCAGGCTCCCGAATGACCCCTTCCTCGTTCTCCGGCCAAGCAGATGATCCAGTCAAATGGGAACGGTCCAAGACACGTCGTCAGGAGCGTCTTGAGAGTTTGATTACGGGGAGGCATTCATTCGGCAGAGGTCCCCTCGAGTTCCCGCTCCCAGTAGCCGTCCAGAATATATTCCGAGATGTGATCCATTCACTGGGTGTTAACTCAATCCAAGTAGGTGGATTTCGCTGGAATGGAGCCCGTACACGCGATTCGGCGAAGTCGCATGGGAGCGACCTCCGCTTCGACTCGAATTCATCATCCTTCCAGGTATCCGCAACACGTGACTACTTCGTAGAGATGGTTGCTCACGCAAAATACTTTAATACTTTCCTGATCTCGGGGAATGCGAAATTCTACCTGGAAGACATTCCTCGAGGTTTCGTTTGCTATAATGAGAGAGGCGTCGATAAGTTCGCGCCTAGGACGAAGTGCATAATGAAGGTCTTCCATCTCGAAAAGCTCGGCAAACTACTCGGCTTGGGTAAGTTCTTGGAGGCTCGCGGGATCTGCGAATCTTCCAGGCCCCATCTACGGCCATTCTATATATTCTTCAGATGCTTCACCAAATCCTCACGCGCTCTCCATGTGGAGAACCGTTCTCTATCACAGAGACACATTCAAGAACTTCACGGAGTCTTTCTTCGGGAAATCCGCCACCCGTCCAGATTTTTACCCGACATCGAAGCCCTTTTGGATGCAGAGCTTGCTGACGGACAGATGCCGGAAGTGGGTTGTTGTGAGACAGCCGTGAAGCTCTCTAAAAGCTTTCCATTCTTGCATCCATCGATTCCAATAATTTATGTTCGCCTGTAATGCAGAGAGGTCTGTGTTCCTATAGGGTCAGTCATCTCAAATTGCTCCAATTTTTCCTCGAAAAGAGCTCGGCGGACGCGACGAAGGTAATCTGCAGCCAGGTGAGCGAGCCATAGCTGGGGGAGGGGGTCTCTATGCCGAATCGTCCGGGAACAAAAATCCGGGAAACTGAAATCGCTCGTAAACAAGAATCTCTCAAAGTGAATATTTCGAAGAGACAACATTGGAGGAGAAATGTTTATTTTCCAAACTCTCCGCAGTTGTACCTCGCAGAGCGCAAAGAGGCAGCCCTCCTATTCGAACAGGAGATCGCGGCTCGATCGATAGAACCTCACAATGTCTTCGAGCGGATCAAGAGCCAGATCGAATGCGGAGACTACTCCGATGAAGACCTCCCGCAATGGTTCCTTCGCTATCTAACGGTCGAGTGTAAAGTGATTCCGGGTCTGATGGATTTCATGACCGATCGACGACATTACCTGATGACGCTCCCGGAAGATTTCGATAGAGAATCCGTGAATGAATCTACGGTCCGTCTCCGTCGGATCATCTACGGGATCCTTTTTTCGGAATCGAAGACCGGCCACGAGGCCGTTCTTATCACAGGTTAGTGAGCGTCATTTCGGGGAGAGAATCCACCGCAGGGTTTGACGGTTCTCACCGAGGTGAGGAGGGAGCTTCTCACCCACCCCCTCATTCTGCTCGATCCATTACCTCCTCTATCCGATTGTGTCCCAGAGCTCGATCGGAAGGGAGATAAGCTTCAAGAAAGGAAACAAACACCGATTTGGAAATTGTGGGACCCTGATGCGCACCGCGAGCCTTTCGACGTCCCGGGTCTGAAGAAGGTGGAGCTCCTATCCGAGGCTGAACGAATCAAGTTATTCCTTTCAAGCATGGGTGAGGATGGGGTCCATGCTCCGACCAAGACGAATGCCACTGTCTGGGGTGTGCCGCTGATCATTCCCTAGATAGGAATCGAGCTTTTTTGCAGGGGTTTCGGGGGAGTTAAGGCGGCAAACGGACTCGGGCGAAGTCTTGTACGTGCTCTCTGTTCTGAGGTATTGGACGCTGGCTGCGGAAGGCATTCGGAAGGTCGACCTCTGGAGGGTCCTGCTGACAGCTCTCATGGTGCGAGAGAGGTCAGTTTGACTGGTGTGGAACCATTCGGTGGCAGGAGTACCTAATCTTCTCATCCTCGCGCAGACGATGTAGCTCAATAGCCTCTCGGTATTCCAGATACTCCAGACCGAGCAATATATTCAAGAAATACCCTGTACGCTCTAACGAGGCGGCTCTTGAGGGTCTCGGTATAGACTTCGACCCGCGGACCGTGCCGAACTTCCCCGGATCGTTTGCTCGTATGCATCCTCTCTCGCAGCTGCAGAATGTCACGTTCTTCGCGCGAATCTTGCACCGGCTTCTCATGCAGCCCCTTGGTCCGAGCTCTGATTGTATCGAGACCTTCACGAGTGAATCGGCATTTTATCACATTTGTCAGCTCACCGACAAGATGAAAGAGGAAGAGCTGGAGAGTTTCGTCTTGGATCTCGTGGAGAAAAATAGCAGGGACAATTTCGTTCGAACCGTGGACTTGATCTGGGACAGTGAAGCCAGAGATCTCGGTCGAATAATTGTCAGCGGTTTCCGCGGCGACGACGAGCGAGCCTAATTCTTATGGGGTACCTTATCGGCAGATAAAAAGGAGAGGCACCTGAATTTTTAGAAGTTCCGAGATAATTCGGAGGTTTTTCAGGCCTCGAAAGTAATTGGTTGCGACAGCCCATCGGAAGGAACTTGGTCCTCCGTGTTTTAAACAAATAAACCTGATCGACTCATAGTCGGAGTTTCACGCTTGACGTAGCGTTTTATCCGCTTGAAGGCGTTGAAGCCAGAACCCGCCGCTCTGCGAGGGGGAAAACGAGGAGCAGAAGGGCGACGGGGATTCCCGAAGAGAATTTCTTGAGCTACTCCCCGAATGGTGGAAGATTTCTCTTCTTCTCTTCATACCGTCGGAACAGCCGGGACCGTAAAAAACTGGCTCGCGGCGCTGATCATCGGAGCTTTCGCCCGGAGAATAATACATCATATGTACTTGGGGCGACAAGGTTCACGCTATGGATGACGTCATGAATTTTTCGGCAAGCCAGAGCAGATATCCATGAGCGTGTATTCCAGCGTTTCCATTCCTCAATCGCTCCTCCGGCATTGTGAGATTCTCCTCCTCGAATCAATCGTCAAGATTCTCAAACGCACGTGGAACACTCTCGGTCGCGATCGCTTGAGCTTCTAGAGTACATCGATTTCTACTAGGGGTTTGCAGATGAAACCGGAAAATCCGTTAGTTGGCGCTCGCTCCGGCTTTGGTTCATATTTTCGCGCCAACCACAATGCGTTGTTTACATCGCCTCCCAGGCTCTACGAAACGATAGCGCGCGTTCGAAAATCAACTTGTGGAATTTTCGATAAATACGACCGAAAATGTCGACTTTTGTGCCAGATAAGGAAGTTTGCCGGAGCTCCCTCATTTTCTGCTACCACTTGGACAAAACGGCGAGTGAGGCACATTCTCTGCTCGTTCAGGCTTTTGGTGATCGCGCACTATGCAAGAGTCAATGTTACGCCTGGTACGAAAAGTTTAAAGCCGGGAATTTCGATAAAGAAAATGAACCGCGTGGAAGACCGGTCAGGAAGTTTTCTGTGCTCAAACCCGGTGAAACGGTCAACGCGGATCGCTACAAAGAGCAACTCATGAAATTGAACAGCGCTATCACCCAGAAACGTCCAAAAAGCGACCGAGATCGAAGTCGTGTCATCTTGTTGCATGACAATGCTTCGAGTCACCAAGCGAAAGCCGTCCGGGAAAAGCTTGCTGTTTTGAATTTTGAAGTCCTCGACCACCCGGCACATTCACCAGACCTAGCTCCTTCAGATTACTACCCATTTGGATTGATGGCCACCGAACTCAGAAATCAGCGCTTCTCGACATATGAAGACGTTCGAAAATGGCTATATGAATGGCTCGGCAGTAAACAGGAAGACTTCTACCGTAAAGGAATCCGGGCTCTCCCGGAAAGATGGGAGAGGTGCATAGCCTCCTTGGGAGAATACTTTGAATAAAGTCAGCCTTTTAGTTTTTCCGGAAAAATATTTTCATTTCTGAAAAAAAATTCCGGTTTCATCTGCAAACCCCTAGTATTCCCACTCCCCGGGACGAGACACCCGCTAAGAAATCTGGCGGGGCGCCACGGCAGCCCCTCCGGTGTTCTCTGCTTATCGGTGTTGACCACTGCGATTAGGGGCGAGGATTCTTTAGCTTCTTGACGCGATGACGGGAGATGCAATGGAGGAGAATTTCAGCTGCAAAGCCGATCATTGACACGGATGAGGCACTCACGAAAAGTTTAAGCGGGAACTCGCTCTCCATCTCTCCCCGGTTACGGTCTTCCGGCGCGAAAGAAGTGAGGAACCTCAAAAAAACGTTTTTCACTTTGCTTCTGTTAGCGCAGCAATTGTACTTCTTCCTGAAAAACCTTTTCCACAACATCGTTCCCTCCCGCTGTAGCTTCCGGAACGGCGCATTCAGAAGATCATATTTCAACATTTCGAGCGCGTATTGGTTCCACTCGTCATTACTCAAATGGGAAATTATCATCCTTGCCGTGTGCGGGCCCGACTTTGTACGGAAGACATAGCGTTGGGACGGATTGGGAAGGAGCAACCATTTCCGATCGCTTTTCTCCACTGAGAGCCGGTACATGTTACCGAAGCCGAAGAAGGAGCGGATTTGATGTACTTCAAAGCTTGAGCCACAGACGATCACCTCCTTCCGTCGTGGAGTGGACGACGGGCCCTGGAGAAGACGCCAGAAGACGTTCGTCGGTTGAATACTGTATTCCTGTCGCTGATGCAAACTCCTCGTATCAGATATTGAGCAATCCCGGTGTCCCGCGAGGCGTGGCCCGCTCGGTACGCTGATCGTTGAAGTCATATCGTCGACCAGGATCAGTGTGAAGAAAACATTCGCCGAAATCCATATGAACAGTGCGATCGGCACGCGTCGCTTCAGTTTCCTGGAACACATTTCAGATGTCGAGAGTCCACAGAGGAGCGCGAGGAAAGATTCGGTGAACGATGTACCACTCAACAGCCAGATTGACGCTCCCAGGAAAGTCATGATGCTCAAGTTGAGTGTGTTCAGCACGTTTCCACGAATTTCGGACACGGGAACATATTTGTCAAAAGCAAATGAGACAATGTCATTGTCCATAAAAGATGGGAGCCTCTGGAGATCGTCCATGAGGAAGTCAGAGAGTCCGAATTGGAGACTTATGTTCAGGCATGGTTCGAAATCTGTATGAACAGACAGAATATTCTGTCCGTCGTGAAGTCCCTCGTATTTCATTCGGCGAAGATTTTCCATTCTCGTGGGCAAGTGAGGACACGCTTTCCTGATATCGCGAGACATCCAGTCAGATATGCATTTCTGCATCGATGACGTCCGCTCCATCTTCTCCATATTCATCTTGTTGCCGAAAGGTAGGCCGAACACCGACCTTCTGCCGCAGACCACGATTCGAGGTGTTCTAGCGTAACGGAAGGTGTTTACGTAGATAACCTCTTTAAAATCGTTCGGTGCGTTCTCCAATTGAGTCTCGATGTCCAAAGTTGAGTGAAAGTCTTTGGTTATCACGATCAACAAGTCGGTTGCGTCTTTCCTCCGGAAAACCTTCGAGTAGGTGTGTACCCAGCTCAACATACGGTCTCCCCAATGTTGTAGACCCGTGTAATTGTAGCAGAAGAACACCACCCTGTTCGCGCCTCGGCTCCTCGCACCGTGAGAGAAGCTATCGTCCAGGATGAAGTTCTCGAGGTTTCTCGTCAAAACCAGGCGTGGTGAAACTTTGAACCAGGTCCTGAGGTGGCACTCCACGAGCTCAATGAGGATGTTGCCCTCGTGAGCGACCTGTTCGACTGCATTCATGGCGAGAGCGACGATCTTCTCCTCAGCCTCAGAGGCTTCGTACGACGATCTGAGATCGCCATGCATGGAGGTTTTCTCTACCTCGTTTCCGAGACTGTCCAGCTTCGGACTTTCTCGATTGAGATTTGTCCGAGTCAGGATGATCGCTGCCAAACAACAAGCTCCGCAGCCGAGGTATCTCTTCTTGCGCCACAACTTTCTGATCGGTTCCATTGTGCGACGTTGCGCACGGGGGAAACGAAAGTCGAGAGCCGCTTCGGAATACTGAACCCCAGTTGTGACTTGGAGAACGGGCCTGAGTCGACAGCCATGGAAACGCAAAGACTCCACTTGAAAAATTCATCAGAGGAATCAATGAGTCTTCGACTGAACGAATAGAAGAGTCCATGTCTCGGAAGCAGAATCCAGAGGAACGATTTCGTTTCGCGTGGGCGTCCACCGTCATGCAGCTGTATGTTTCCGCTCGGCAGGACTCGCCGGTCAACGTTGCATCGTCAACGAGGACCAGGGCAAGGACGTTGGGATGCAGCTCCATTCTATTGATGATACCTCGCGTGTGCTAGTCACGGGAGTCCGGGCCGGTGCGATAGGCCGGCACCGTCTCTCCGAGAGTCGGTAAGATGACTCGAATGTCTCCTCCAACGTCGTCGACCTCGAACAGGACAGAAGTTGGCGGGCGCTCGTGAAGAGCAGTTGAGGTCGAGCGGTGAGCGAAGCGCCCGCTTCGCATCAGACAGTCTGCTCGGATCATTCTAGTCATCATTGGCGCCTTCACAGCCGTAGACTTCATCTTCGTGGGGTGTCCTCCCCCGTCACTCAAGCAGGATCCCCTCGGACGCTTCCCGTGGGACGAAACTCCAAGAAAAGGGTTCGCCTGCTCCAACATCGATCCCCTCCAGCTTCAGAGTTTGCCCCAGTCCCCGTCTGGCTAGAGACTCAATTTGACAGCGTCAATCTCCAAAACGTCGTGTGACATCTCTGCCAGAAGAGGTCTCAGAAAGTCGGCAATGAGCAAGAGTAGACAAACGACTGTGTGTCCCCGTCAACTGTGTGGGAAAGTTGTCTTGAAGGCTAACTTGAAACTCCACCTGCAGCGGCATGACGGGGAAAAGTCTCTTGCTTGTGAGCTATGCGCCAGAAAATTCTTCTCGACAAAAGAACTGCGACAACACGGCTTAGCTCACATCGGAGAGAAACCACATAAATGCTCAAAGTGCCCGGCGCGGTATACCGCCTTAACAAATCTCATCGAACACGAACGTTCCCATAGCGGCGAAAAGCCGCATTCCTGTCTCGAGTGCTCCGCAAGTTTCCCGACCTCATCGAGGCTCGCCATACACCGACGTATTCACACCGGCGAAAAACCCTTCGTTTGCGACGAGTGCGGTAGAAGATTCGTGCAGAGCGGTGAACTCGCCATTCATCGGAGATCTCACACTGGGGAAAAGCCCTACGAATGCTATGAATGCGGCCAACGCTTCTCGCGTTCTAATGTGCTCAAGATACACGAACGGGTGCACACTGGAGAGAAACCTTTCGAGTGTCGAACTTGTGGCAAGAATTTCGCGCACGCCGCCAGTTTGAAGAGCCACGAACTCGCGCACACCGGAGTGAAGCCCTTCTCGTGCAGTTTCTGTCCTAAGACTTATGTGAGAAGAGAAGTGATGCGGGCTCACGAGAAGAAGCACAAGGACGGAAATCGCTCGTGAGTTCGTCTAGCCGAACGAAACGGACGATTCCATAGGGATGCCTTCCTGTCTGAACGATTCAAGACGCCGGAACTCGATTCACGATGCGGATAAACGTTTTCGGTCTCGTCTGCTGGTGGGGGCGGCGTCGTGGGAAGGTCGGTAGAGGGAATGTTCAACGACATGAAATTCAAGCACTTCAAGAAAGAAGCTCGACCATACAGTAAAAGCTCGATATGACGACCCCCATTACAACGAATTTCTCGGTACAACGAACAAGGAATTTCTCCTGCTTTGGCCAGCTCGTCATACGGATAGTGTTGAGCGGCATTCGTTACAGCGCAAACTCGGTACAACGAACCAGTTTCGTCGGTCCCTTCGTGTTCGTAGTAAGAGCTTTTACTGTAATAGGATTATGACGATAGAATAAAAGATTTCGGGGAAAGCTCGCTTCTTTCCCTCCTTCCTGAAATCGAGCACCGACGGCACTTTTCTCCGCGGGAAGACGCGGTGCGAGCAGGGGTCGGGGCTGGCAGGCGAAGGCGTAGCGAGAGAGGGGCGGTGGTGGCGGGACGGTCCGCTCCGGGCATCAAGGCTCCGGCAACAGTCTCCGTAGAGGCTAGCGATGCCCAGCCTCCTTTTGGATTAAACGTTCTCTTGATCTCTCGCTGAATCGGCTTGGAAAAATTTTACATGTCGGAAATATGGCCTTGATGAATCGCATAATTTCATCCGAGAACGACTGTCCCCGTACACCGTGGCTCCGTAAGAAATCTTCGAATGAGATGAAACGTTTTTCTGTCAAACGTGGGAAGCGCCCGGCACTTCAGTGCCAGTTTTCTCCAGGCCTCCGAGAGCTCGCTTACGATGATTCAATAAGGCTAAAGCGTCATCGGGAATCCTGCCACAGACCCTCAGCTCATCAGGGAATCTCCGCCGACGTACGAACACATTTTCTCCGCGTCTTGCCTGTCGTAATCTCTTCAGGGAAACGAAATTTGTGGGACGGATCCTCGGTCACGATCCGGTGGCCTAACCTTACCCAACCTGCGGCCGCACGCATCAAGATTTTTTCAAAATCAGCGCGCCGTCGCCGTGGTGCTCGGAAGAGAATGGGAGACGTTGCGCGGTTCTGATTTCCATCCATATCAACACATACAGTAGAACGCGCTCCAGACCGTGTAAGGAACCTTCGAATGTGTATTATTGGAAGCGTCCAAACATGAGTCCTAAGAAGGAGAAGATCAAGTGCCCCATCAATCACTGTGAGAAAATTTTGCTGAAGAGAACCTTGAAGATCCACTTACTCCGACACGAAGGAGTGAAAGCACACGCTTGCGGGAGCTGTGAGAAACAATTTTGCACTGTGAACGAACTCCGGCAGCATGCTCGCGTGCACAGCGGAGCAAGACCCTTCTTGCTATGCATGTCCTGCTCGTTTCACCGCACTTTGCAATCGCCTAGAGCATGAGCGTTCCCACACAGGCGAAAGACCTTTCGCCTGTTCTGAATGCTCCTCGAAGTTCGCGACCTCGTCCAAACTGGCGATACATAGACGTATCCACACTGGGGAGAAGCCATTCGCGTGCGATGAGTGCGGGAGATCGTTCATTCAGAGGGGACAGCTCATCGGACATCTGAGATCACACACCGGAGAAAAACCATACAAATGTTCTCGGTGCGGTGATTCTTTCAGGCACCCTTCCACGTTGTCTCGGCACGAGAGAGTACACACAGGAGTGAAGCCTTACGAGTGTGCTCTTTGCGGACGACGTTTCGGTCACTCCAGCAGCTTGAGAACTCATGAGCGTGCGCATGCCGGTTTGAAGCCATACAAATGTGGGATTTGCTCGAAGCCTTTCGCAAGCAAATATAATATGAGAGCTCACGAGAAGAAGCAACACAGCTAAGTTTGGGGCCCATGAAAGGAAGCGAGTCGACGAAGATGATGGAGTTGAACCCCTGTCTGCTCAGATTTTGTCTTTCGAACCATTATGAATTATAATTTTGTGACGAGAGCGGAGCGGTGATTACCTACTGGCGAATGCCTGGATTGGATGTATAGGCTACGAATCAAATGAATAAATAAATGGAATAAATGGAACCGATACCCAGACCGCTCATGCAAAGTCTCGATTCATTCATGTGATCGAAGCTCGATGCTGTATAATTTTCGCGACAGTGCTACCGTCGCATTACTCAGGCATTCATAGTCCGGCCGTGGGAATCCTCCTTCCTTGATTTTTTCGGCCGGTGTGCTCAAGCTTAGGCGAATTCGAAAGCTTCCTCTTGGATGCGCAGAACCTATTCCTCCCAGCCTGGGCTTCTTGGAGTGTTCCACCGCAGATGGTCGTTGATTTGCGTTGCGATGTCGTCGTCCACAAGTGCTACATAAGTCTTAGGCGAGTTTCGTTTGCTCGATGCCCATCTAAACTCGATGGCCCGTGAATCAGCTCTGTCGCGATGACATAATTTCTCTTCCATTCGGGTTGTTTCTAGCCACCTCCATTCCCATCTGGTGTATCGGCGGATGCTCAACTAGCCCGAAGGCTCTCCGAGACCCACGCGATGCCGAGTCAACTGGTCCGCTTGTACGCCACAGTCTGGGAGATCCTATGTAGGCGGCGCGGCGCGAGCTTCAATCGAATGGTTTCTCACTAAGGACCTCCGAATCGGAATCGAATTCCCTGTGCAACATGTGATGTGAGGTGTGACCTCAAAAGAGGACGATGTTTCGTATCCATATTCAAAGCTCGAGGCTAGATACGGAGATGGGGAGGATCAAGATCCTTATCTGTCTTATGATGCATCAGGGCTGCTGGGGCTGAGAAGCCTCATGAAGATGAGACCGAGGATTCGATGAGGCAGCATTTTTTCGGAACTTGAGGAACACAAGGAGTCCGCGATGAATCCGAGTTGCGATATGTGGGACGTTCCTTCATTTGCGATTGAAGCCAGGAAGCTTCCAGAAGAGAACTCATCACCATAGAGCGCCACCGGTCCTCGAGGGCATAGAGCACTCCCCGTTCGCTCGATACGAATCTTCTATATTTGCATATCATTCATCATCCTTGACAATCGAAATTTCCAGAACAGATTAGGTGAACAGACCATGCGGGCGGTACATGTAATCTTTCCGTCAATCAACAATCACCATCGGTGAATTCGCGATGCTTAGGAGAGAGCCGAAATCGTATCATTGGGCGGCTTCGACCAATTTCGAAATCATAAAGATTCCCGCCTTCCCAGGAGTTCACCAATTCTGGTACGAGTCTCCATTCCGTTAACCGCAGACAATCGCTCGAAAGGCAGACACCTTCTCGCCACCACGGAGGGAACAGCCAAGCCTCTGGACCTTGTCTCGATCGCGCCGCCAGTTTCTCTGTTAGCCTACGTGTACTTACCGGACGGAGATATCTCATCAACACTCGGCGCTGTGAGGTGTAGTTGAAGAGTTCAAGCTCGCCTGCCATCCCGCTGAACTATCCTCCGTAGGTTTAATTTAGAAGCTCGGGGGGCACATCGAGTGCCTCCTCCTGCCCGCCGAATATCCATCCTGACTCGAGTATCTTCAGGAGCTCGCCATGTTCAACGCTGCTGATCTATTCGAAGTCTCGTGCCGTAAATCTGATCCGACTCCTTTTCACGCTAGGGCTCCCATCTGACGATTTAATGGTGGGTCAGCCCGAGAGTTTCGGCAATCGTATCCCCAGCTGTCGAACTTTCCTGACCGCCACAGGGAAACTCTGGACGCGGAGCGGCACCTCAGCACGGTACGCCCCCGCTGCATTTCGACGACGTGTCGTGAAAATCGAATCGCGCCCGCCCGACAGCTCAGCAAGAGGCTCAGATGGTCGATCACCGAAAATCAGATCTGATTGCCGATAGCCGGAATCGGCTCCGGAGAATCGCAGAAAGTCAAAGCTGAAAATCAAATTGACAGAGCGACTCTTACTAATGTCTAGTGGGGTCCCGGATAACGAAAGCCTCGGGAAACGGACGTTACGGATAATGAACCTTCCCGGATTGACCCCGCTGACCCGCATTACGAACCAATTAAGAACCTAACGAACTTTCTCTGCAGACAATCGAAGCGGATCTCACAGGTCCAGGGACTTACGGATTCTCTGGTTTTCTCTGCTAGCGCGTCGACCTAGAAGCACGGTGCAATCTAGATGCCTGTTTTCCCATTGAGGCCAATTCCAATTGTGGCTCCGCCTAACGAACTTTCCGCACAACGAACCTTTCCACGGAACCGAGCGAGGTCCTTAACCAGGACCCCACTGTACCGAGATTCTTAGCCTAAGATCTCAGGTACAGCCTCTCTCGAGGGAGGTGATTGCGGGAAATCGATGGAATCGAGGAATTTAGAGTCTTCTCCTTGCAGCCATAGGCATGGCCGGTCTGTACATTCTGATGGCCGAGAACGATTGCCTGTGCAGGCTCGAAGAACTATCGGATCGCCATGTGGTCGTCGATGGATCGAACCTCCAGTACTACTTCCTGCATAGGAATCATAAACTGTCGAATCTTCCTGGCTATGAAGAATCCGTCAGGAAGTATTTCCGCTATTTACTCAACTCTAGGATCGTTCCACATGTTTTCTTCAAGGGGCCTCTGAGTAAGTTTCACATCTCGTAGGGTCTTTCGCTGTCCCCCGGATCTCGTAGGGTCTTTCGCTGTCCCCCGGATCTCGTTGCTTGATCTGTGCTTCCACCATTCGAGCTGTCTCCGATACTTCTCTTTCGACTTCAGACGATCGACGCAAACAGGAGCGGCTCTTGCGAAGCCAGATCAAAAATTTTCATCGCTTGCTCTATACGCCATGTGCTGAATTTGATCAAGCATCTCCGATTGGTACCGGGGAGGTTTTCCGCGGGGTACTCAACTCATTGGGCATTCGTTCAATACAGGTGAGCGAACGAGATTTGTCACGGAGCTCAGTCGCTGGAGCGACCCGGTTTCGAGAATGTCTGACGATTGAGGATTCCTTCCCTAGGTCCCAGCTGGCCGCGATTACTTGGATGAAATCACGTCCCACGCAAAGTTCATGAACGCCTTCGTGATCTCAGGAAACACGAGACTGTTTCTGAAGGACATACCGATGGGTGTCGTCTGTCCTTCTGCAACAGCGCTCGTAGATTTCGCGCCGATGCTGAGATGTACGATGAGGGTCTTTCACTATGATTCTTTATGTGCTGGAGTCGAACTCGGTCAGTGGCGGAATATTTCCATAAGCTCCGAAACTGCTTCCATATTGAGACGGATCGAATGGATCTTCACGTACTCGAACTTGCTTACAGATTCGTCGAGGAATCCTCACGCAATAACTATGTGGGGAACCGTCTTGTTCAATCGAGATATCTTCGAACCCTTCACGATACACTTTTTCAAGAGATTTCCAAGAGGACTCCCGAAATTCTATCCGAAATCAAGTAGTTCTTTACGACGAAGTTTCCCTGAGGAAATATTCCAAAGGTTTGTCTCCCATCTTTCTCGGATTTCTCCGGCGGCTTCGCTTCAGCAGCAGGAGTCGGAGGGTGCAATACTTATCATGATGAGCAGAATCACTAAACGTACTGGCCTTGTCTGAATAGCGCAGCGTCTAAGGCTTCGGTGTACGAAAAGAGAATCGACGAAGGCTGGATCGATATGTTTCAATATTCGGCGACCACATTGGCATCGGTTCAATGCCAGCTGCGGTGACCTCGTTTTGAGAAGTTTTGCTCTCCTCGAACCATGGACTGACGAGAAATGTCACGGGCTATCCTCTGCATGTTCTCGCACTGTCCTGGCCACGGGTCCGGGCCACCGATGTCAGAACCCAAGATGCCATCACTCTCCTGTGGACTCCCTCCCAGCGAATCCTCAAGAATTCTTCCGAACTCTCTCTCGATTCCCCCAATACGGCGATCGTGTCACGCCCATAAAAAATCTCTTTCCTTCCGCTATTTGAAATTCGAGTTCTGATCGGAATCCTACCAACGGATATGATTCTGAGGCTCGAGGTTGATCTCAGCCGGGAGCAAAATGCGGAATGATCCGAGACCACGTCATTCCTCGATGTTCGATATCCGATTCGATATTCAAACAACGGAGATGTATTATTCCCGACAGGAAGCGGTCTCACATAGACCTCCTTCAATTCTTCCTCGAGAATACGGCAGAAAACGCACAGAGTATTGTCCTGTCACAGGTCAGTCTAGAGGCGGATGTAAGAGCATCGTGACCGATTTTTTTCCACATCATTCTCCAGAATTCTTCCTGGGAGAATCATGTCGGCTCTCCATGTCGTCTGAGCCTCCCGCTTTGAATCTCAGCCTCGTTCATTTTCATGTACCTCAGTTATCCCCGGCTTGCCACGAGATGGCGATCCTCCTTCTGCATCAGGACATACAAAGTCAAAGCATCGAAGCCTGTAACGTACTCGAACGACTCGAAGAGCAGATAGAGCAGGGAACCCACTGCGACAAGCACCTACCCCGATGGTTGCTCCGCCGCGAATTAGCTGGCGTGAGTTACAAGAATCATTAAATTCGGACGAATCGCCAGGGTCCCGCCGCGGCTCATGGCCGATCTCGTTTTCTATTCCCGAGCTGCTAGGACATTGCTGATCGTTGGCAGTCTCTGTCCTCAGTGCGGAATTCTCCCAGATACCCTGACTGATCGAACGCTCTACCTCATGTGTCAAGTGGAAGACTTCGAAAGGGAATCTGCCCATAACAGTTCGCTCCTCCTGCGACGGATCATTTACGGACTTTTGTACCCGGCATGTGACCACGGCGATAGAGGCATAGCGATATCCGGTAGGTCGAACACCGAATTCTCAGCGCGAGGCCATAGAATAGGAAGCTTGTGTGTTCTCCCATGGCTTCAGGGCCTCCGTCGCGCCGATGACTGACAGCATTGGAAAATTCGTTGGGAATCATTCCAGAAATCGATAGATCGGAGCTGCGGATTCAAGAGACGCAACGAACTCCACTATGGACCCTATGGGACGCAGAGCGATCCGTATGTCATGCCCTGCCTCGTTTGGACGAGATGGAGAACCTCCCCGGATCGGAGCGCCTACGACTCTTTCTGATGAGCATGGGTAGGGATAGTGATGAATTGCTCGTTCCCTCTAGAACTTCTCATAAGAATGCATTTCGCTACTCTCGAACGACCCCCGTTCCAGGACTCGGGGAGAGATGGCCTCGCTCGGATCAAACGCACGCATCTGTCTACGTGACGGCTGTTCTGAAGTTCTGGATTGCGTACGGGGCCGATATCACGAAAACGGATCTCTTGAGAGTTCTACTGACGGTTCTCCTTATTGAGTGGAAGTGGGTTCAGACAACGCTTGTCATCATTCCCGTCGATGGTACTTATTCCTCAACGCGAGAGATGTTAATAAAGCTCTCGAATGTTTCAGATACAGAAAATCGAGCGAGGTATTCCAAGATCCGGTCGAGCTGAACAATGAAGCTATGCTCCACCTAGGCATGGAGTTCCATCCTGGGTGTTCAATCAGCCAATATGGATCCTTCGCTTGTATGCATCCGTTAGCTCAATTGCAGAGCGTCACGCTCTTTGCGGCAATCTTACACAAGCTTTTCATGCAGCCTCTCGGCGCTGAATCCGATAGCATCCAGAGAATAACTAGTGAAGTGGTCTTCTATCATATCTGCCAGCGGACAAAAGATTTCGGAGCCGCCAAATTAGAACGATTCGTCCTAGCTATGGTGGAAAAGAGCTGCCACAAAATATTTGAGAGAAGCCTGGAAATGATCTGGAATCGGGACCATCGATAGGATTATCGAGGGCCGAGCCAATCGAGGCCGCTTGCTCCGGCATTCGGAAGACGTTGTCCCAACTAGATTCATTGTATAGATGCCTTCGAGCACGCTCGCGATGACTCGATATATCCGAGACAATAAAATTACCACACGGTGAATTGAGAGAGTCCGCTCCGAGATCCGTCCGGTTCTCACCCACGCGATCGGCTCCCTTGGTCATTTCGCTCCGGGCCTGCCTCGCGAACGAGAGTCACGATCATTGGTAGTGAGAAACTCCATAATTTCCAGCAGCACTCCCGCATATTCTCTCTCCAAACTCGTTGTATTTTAAAATGTTGAATAACGCCCAGAATAAAAACATAGGTATTGACTCAGCTCTTATTGTTCCCCGTCGGATCTTGTGGACCCGAGTGATCCTCTCAGACTGCTCGGGTGAAGTCATTAACACTCACAACAGTATCTCCCTTTGCCTGCGAGCCTGCGAGCATGTACATCGCCGATTGGAGAGCCCAGTCGGTACAGCTTGAATCTTCCAATGGGACCTTTTCTTCGATAGGAGCCTCGGAGGAATCACAGACCGTCTTCGAATCATAATGGCCTCTCCTCCTACGCTGCCCCAGGAGCCTCATGCTCTGAAGCTCGCCTTTACTGACTGAGTGATTTACCCGTGGCGAATGCTCACAACCACCGGAATACAATCATCGCAAGCCGGAATACCGCCTGTCATCTGCCTAGCGCATCGAGGGATGGTCACGCGAGAAAACCCTCTACTCCTGAGCGCCCGCCGATAGGAGCTCTCCGCTTGGGGCGTTTGAAGATGTGTGCTTACATATGAGCCGGTTTGGTGGCCTCTAGGACCCGCTTGTTCGAGGCAGACGTATAATGAAAGAATTCGGTCCATGTTCTTGGGATATCAGGGTTTTCCTCCCCATCCATTCCTTCGGATGGGTGCTTCCGTGTTATGCAGCGATTCGGTATCTATAAGGACATGCGCTGCGGGAGCGAAGGCACTCTACGCTTACACGATAATTGAAATCGAGGGTGGTGAATGGTGAAATCATTATCTGCTCATGCTCTGCCGCTGGTGGTTGAGCGAAGAATCTTCCGGAGCTCCTCGACCTTAGCGAATCCGAAAATTGAATTTTTTATCGACGGAGAGTCTTTGTCTCTGACTTCCCTCTCATATACAGTAGCGAACAAAAATTTCCGGACAGACCGCGATTTCGCTGCGGACGCGACTTCCAACTTGCACATAGAGAGAGAGAGACCGTACATGGGAATTGGGAATCGTCTGAGTGAGCGGTGACTTATTTACGAGTTAAAGATTCAAAAATTGTTTTGTCTGGAGAAGTAAACGTAGGTGCTGACCGTTAACGGTAACGATGACTTGTGACTTATGAGACGAGTAATGAGAGGGAGTGAGCGCGGCTATCGTCAGTAATTCAATGGCGGGCTCTGCTGTTTTGAACCAACCAATCGGCTTCGTCACCGCTCAGACGATTCCCTAGTACGGTCTCTCTCTTTGTGCACGTTGGAAGTCGCGTCCGCAGCGTAGTCGCGGTCTGTCCGGAAATTTTTGTTCGCTACTGTAAGTCAGTCTGGCACGGTGACCAGTTCGCCACGACAGCTCTGAGAGCACGTCCCACCTTTCGCGCTGATGAACCAAAGCTCCGTATGCGACTTTCCTTCTCGGAAAGCACATGACTACCTTTTTCGAGAGACCTCAGCCGAAGGTTCAGCGCCGTATCGATAGCGTCGGCGGAGTTCCGCTCCGAGCAGGTTCGTGAACCGTGCGAACTTCTTATCTCCAAGAGGGAACTTGAGCACGGGAGTCCCTCGATCATTCTGGAATTCGGAGAATAATCAGAGAAGTGATGCGAATTGGTCGATCAGATCTCAATCGACGGCAAGGAGCACCGCTCTCCCGTGGAGGGCAGTTGCTCGGCTTCTCCGTCTCTCCCCCGATTCCTAGACGGGACTCTTCTGGACGATACTGCAGAGAGCGGCGGGCGGCTGCAGAGCGCCAATAGAAGTGGGAGCAGATGGGATGGCTCAAGAAGATAGGGAATCGGGAGTGGGAGCATCAATATCATAGCAGATTGGGGGAAGCAGAGAGAATATTGGTGACGATTCGATATCAACGTTCTCTCCCAGTCGCCCGTCCCTTGGAGAAGACGCTGCATCGCGGTGTGGAGAGCCGACGACAGCATAGTGAACGTGGACTTCCTCAGTCTACCGTTCCAGGCGAGCGCCAGATCGGAAACTCCACCGAGTGGATCGTATTGTGGTGGAACCGTGAGTGGCTGCTCCAGGAAGTAGGTGTTAATCTTTTCGGGGGCCTTGGAACTCTCCGACTCATCGAATAGTCTGATGACACGGTGCAGGTACCTTGTCCGACAGTATTTCCCACGAATTTCACGAGTATTTGCAATTTCAGAGACGTTTTCCGGACAACCAGGCTCCCGAACCCAGGGAACATCCTCTCAGGAATCGGATAGAGAGCTTCGACTCTAGGGTACAGTATGAGCTCGATATGATAATCCGATTCTTGACATGAAATGCACTTATTATAATCTAGAGTGGCATATAACTGACCTCCGAGAGATATTTATCGATTTTTGTATCACGATTATCGTATCACGTCACCAACTCGATCGTATCCCCACGAACTGACTCTGATCAGTGGAAACTGGGAAGTGCCGATTCAATCGAGATGCACTGTGGGAGCGGAGTCGTAAACTCTCATGCGTGAATGTCGAAGAAAGTCGGATCAGAGGTTGGATAATTAAGCGGGAGACTGCTTGCGATCGGTCGAGAAGTCGGCGAGGGGAATATGCGTCTGCCGTTAAGAGGTCATCCTTCGGAATTACAGGTGGAGAACCACCGTCCGCAGCAGCGTGTTTGGACGCGGGTCGAGATGGCAGGCCTCTACCCGATTTTCGCGACGAACGATTTCCTGTCGAGTTGCGAACAGCTCTCGAATTGCCATGTGGTCATCGACGGTTCAAACATTCAATACTTCTTCGCGGACCGCCGCAACGCCCTCTCGAGCCTCCAATCGTACGCACAAGCTGTGAGGGATTACTTCCATGAATTACTTGAGGCGAAGATCACCCCCCATGTCTTCTTCGACGGACCTTCGAGTGGTGAGTTTTGTGGGATACGATTCCCCTCTGGCCTCCCACTTTGCTCCATTCACACAAAGGATCCGTATGTTTCATGCGCAGATGCGTCCGAAAAATGGGAGCGTGCCCGCAGACATCGACAGGACCGCTTGGAAATGTTGGCCGGTCAACATCCGTGGCATGAATTCTCGGCGTCCCCTGCTATCTCAGATATATTCCATCGCGTGTTGGATTCGATGGCGATCCGCAAGATTCAGGTCGATCCCGTCTCCACAGAATCATGGCAAGGGATGATTGATTAGCTGGTGAATGCTTGCGTCTCATTCGGATTCGTTCCAGGTTTCTGCGAAGCGTGACTACACCGACGAGATGATTTCACATGCAAAGTATTTCAATGCTACTCTGATCTCGGGGAATCTCAAATTCTACGTGGAGGATCTACCGTGCGGTTTTTCTCCTCCCTCTTCTCTCTCTCTGAGAGCGATGGGAGGCTGTCGACCGCGATCGAGTTGCGTCATTAGAATCTACCGTTTCCAGAGATTTCGCGATCTCATTAATCTCGGTCAGTTTTCTGAATCGATTCCTGTGTTCCAACCGTCCGACGCAAGAGGGCATGAATAATTATGACCATATCTCCCAGGCGAGTCGCCTAATCCTCACGCTCTCAGGATGTGGATAACCGTTCTGTACAACAAAGACGTTTTCGGGGAGTTTTCAAAACATTTCCTCCCAGAAGCTGATCGATCTGCTCCCTTCTACCCGACGGGGAGAAGGGAGTGGATTCATGCGTTACTCTCTTCGAAGAATAGAAGGTACGTGATTGTCATAATTCCAAGCGATCTGCAAATAATACGGAGGGCCTTCGATACGCCGAACGATTGGCTCACGTTTGAAGATCGGATTATTCCTCCAAAACACATTTTGCCGCAGATCCGGCCCGCTAAAATTACTTCAGTTCTTCCTCGAGAACACTTACGATGATGCTTCGCATATAATATACCGACAGGTGATCGAGATTGTTCGATATCGTAAACCTAAAAATGCTGATCCTATATAGAATTGAGTGACCTTCAACCACGAACATTTCTCGCAGCTGTATCCGAACCATCGTACCCAAGCGAAGCGTCTTTTCCGTCGAGACCCCCCCATCGAAGCCCACGACGTGTTCGAAAAAATCCGAAATGAAGTGGAAACCGGAGAATTCTGTCACCAGCATCTTCCACAATGGTTCTTGAGCTTCATAACAGTCGAGGTTGTACGAGGGTTGCCTTCTGCTCCGACATATCACACTGAGGCACTCAGAAGCCGCGTGACCTTTTCTGACATCTGAATATCATCGCGAATAAAATCAATAACGACACCTACCCTGCTTCCGCAGTGTAAGCTTGTTCCGGACTTGCTTGATACGCTCACCAATAGACGTCACTATCTGAAGTCGCTGGTGGAGGACTTTGAGAAGAAGTCCGCCCACGACTGCACGATATCCATTCGACGGCTGATTTACGGAGTTCTCCTCGCGGACTGTGAGGAGAGCGATGAGGATATATTTGTCGAAGGTAATTAATAGTCTCTCGATATTGAGGGACTTCCCGGCTGTGGCTAGGGATCCTTGCACCTGCATCGTCGGGCCATTCCTCATGATGCCTGGCGCGAAATTCAGTCGGAAAATCCCTCCTCAGAGCTTGATCGTAGAGCAGAGGATCTGCAAGAGGTCAAGCGACGGCCGAGGTGGAAAATGTGGAGCCCCGGTGAAGAATCTGAAGATTTCTTGGTGCCCGGGCTGAAATCGATGGATTCTCTGTCTGAATCTGAGCGTAGGGACCTCTTCCTGCTGGGCATGGGTGAGCAGAAGTCCTTTTTCCGTCGGATCTCTTGGCCAAATTATCGTGATTCGTGGTGTGACTGATATGGGTCATCCTGTGGTGTCTTCAGGTGTTGAAAGAAAACGAAGGAAGGGCATCGATTCGGATGAGCGTTTGTATATCACAGCCATCTTGATTAACTGGCTTGCTGCCGGGAACGATATACGGCGGGCAGATCTGCTGAGAGTTCTTCTTACAGCCCTCATTGTGGAATGGAAGTGAGTGTGAAATACCGTTAGCATAGGACGCGATCGAGTCGCATCTGATTCTGAAACGAATTCGTCCGCATTCAGGTACGGGAAGCCAAGCAATATCTTCGACGACAGAGTGCGATTGGACGCGGAACTTTGTGCAAGGCTGGCCGTAGACTTCCGGCCGGAGAGCGTGAAGAATTTACCCGGATCTTTTGCCTGTATGCACCCCCTTGCGCAGCTGCACAGCGTCATGTTCTTTGGAAGATGTCTGCACAGACTCTTCATGCAGCCGTTGGGCCCGAATTCGGATAGTGTCGAGACCGTGGTGAACGAGGTTGTCTTCTATCACATTTGTCAGCTCACGCAGAATATGGACGATGTGTCTCTGGAGGAATTCATAATCGAAATGGTGACTGAGAGTGGTCGAGGGTCGTTCGAGAACGCACTAGACGCGCTCTGGGACAGAGACTCCAAAGAAATTGCGGAGACAATCATCGAAGGCTTTGTAGGCGATGATAAAAGGTCCTGAGCTTGGTACTCAGCTTCTTGTATAATTTCATAAGTTCATAAGATTTCATAAGCTATGCGAGTAAGTGGTTTGATCGATTCGAGCTCTTAAATAAAAGTTTTTCTCCGAGAGCCGCCGAGAGACGGTCCGTCGATTATTCGGGGTGACCCCATGACCAGACATAAGTTGTTTTTGGATCTCATCCATAGGTTCTCTGCTCGGATACGCATCCCGAACCGAAGGACAATGTGACACTGAGCGTGTCCTCGAAAATCGTAACCCGAATCCGAGTTCTCGAGAAATGCTGCTTTTCTTCCTTGGGCGAGGTAGGACAGACCTCCGGAAGACCTGCTCAGCTCGAGTCACTGCGGAGGGTCCGGGGCTTCGCCTGTTTCCGTTTTTCACCCAAGGAATGATGTCCGGCTGCGGCTTACCTCATCTCCGGCGAGCCGTCCCTCCGCCGCACGTCACGCGGGCTCCAAGTCTCGATCATCAATCGGCCTGGTGTCGGCTCAGAAATTCGTGGCTCATTTCCGAAGAATCGACGAAGGGTTTGGGACGAAGAGGGAGATCGAGAATCGAAGCAGAGCAGGACGATGATCTGCAGGCACAATTGACAGCGTTTGGCTGGACAATGCTGCTCCACAGTTCCTCAGTCCATGAGCAGTGTCGATGGTCGTGTATGGTCATGTAGACTCGAGTCGCGACGACTACCTCATTGAGCTCTTCCATGTGGGAGAGCGAGGCATGTACCGCAACCATTGTCCTCCGCCTAAATCGGTTCCGGACCATGGAAATATCGCGGCTCATCTCGGATTGCTCTACCTATTCCTTCCTTCCTGCATTCATCGTTTGGACTTAATCTAGTGCTCGAATGATTCTCCAGAACAGCTCCGGGATTGAGTCCCTAGCTGAGCCTTGGTCCGATGTTACCAAATTCCGATGTCGGACGCTTGAAGAATCGTCCCTTACGATCTCGTCGCTGCTATGGCTAATCATGAGAAGAGGTGTTAATTTTTTGCGGCGATTGCTCCCCGAATTCGCGGCATTGACTCTCTCCGGGTAGTCACCTCAGAATTGCTGGGGTATCACTATCCGTGATTTTCTTCCACCTCTACTGCTCATGAGTGACGAGAGAGACGCACGCAGAGCTCGTCCGCAGCGCGGCATAGAAGGTCTCGATTCAATAACGCTATGACCTCAATTGCCCGTGCAGCAAAGATCATCCAATTTTCGTCGATGCATAAGCATGAGCCAGAGTGAACAGAATAATGAGGATCGCGACATTCTCATCGCTCCGCTCCGGTCCGACGCTACGGAGCCGGAGGCAGCCGTACGTCGGAGCGAAGCTTCTATGGTCGCTCTCGAGTGGAGCCCTCGCAGTAAACCCAGAGTGCTATAGAGGAGCGACGCCGTGCACGAAACTTATTCGAACGGAAATTCACTTTGAAACATCGGCGTGTTACCCCTCCGAAAATCCCGAGACGGAGCTTCTCGAGCTCATCCATGAGCGGATCAAGGAATCGTTCCGAGGATCGAATAATCGAGGCGCTGTAGCCCTCACGGCTCACGGTGTGTGAGGTAAGCTCCTTAGTAGAGAGGAGAGTCACACGGCCAATGTTCGGCCGCAGAAAACAAACTACCGCGCTCCAGTAGCCCGCAACGTGAAGTTTACGCGCACTTCAGTGGCACGGGAATAATGCGGGTTTGTCAGCTTCGGACTCGGACATCTCCGGGGTCGAAGAGGCGGAAATCAGTGAAATCGGCCCGGGCATAGATCGACCGCAGCAGAATGGGCTGAAAAATCTCGAAACCTTTTTTTTCACATCCATTGGAAGCCAGCAGCTCGTCCTGAATGCGGAGGCTAATCCAGACTCTTTGAGCTTGTTCACCGGAGGGAAAGCTGCTCATCGCCCTGATCATTCCGGAGATCGCGAGCTATGGAGCTATGAATTTATCTTTCAACGAAATAGCCGATGCATTGCCATATGAGCGAAATCTACCGGATCTATCTCATTCGCTGCTCAATATCGTCGAGCCCGAAGCTCCAACTGAAATATGCGAAAGGACGAACTCCGAAACCAAACCCTTATATCGGCGGATTTTCGGACAATATCTCACGAAGAATGCATTTACAGGATGTCAAACTTGGATCAGACTACATGCTCGTCATTCTCTTCCCTCGAGATACCGGTGACCCACGCCGGTCAAATGTCTTTCCCGCCTGACAAAGCAACGCCGGAGCAGTCACTGCCCGAATATCGCCAACAGAACTTCAACTTTCATTTCGGCGCCCAAAATGGAACTGAGGTTTTCGGCCAGAGCTCATTCGAGGGCCAACTTTTCCAGGCCAGCAAGAATGAGGATTTCCAATTTGCATCACAGACCGATCTCGAAACGAGCGACAACTTGGAATTCGAGCTCCACAAGAGAGGGGAGAAGCCGACTCCCGGCCAGCCGATTGGTAACGTCATGGTTTTCATACAAGAGGACTCCACGCCCATGTGTGCTCAGTCGCGAGGCGAGACGAACTTCGGTCAGCAGGCGTTCGTCAACGATTCAAATGTGGTTGATTTGGTCGACCGCTTATCCACGGAGAAGAGCCGCACATTGTCGAGTCCGGACAAAATCGAGGCGCTTCCGAAGCCCGTCCGCACGGAAAAACGAGCAGGATCCGTTGACCCGAAACGAGCCCCTGATGCGGTTGAGGCGGAGACTTTTTTCAAGAAATTCTCCTCCATAAAAAAATACGATGGCGTAATCAGTGAATTGAAAGGTTTTCATGTTCCCGACTTTGTCGGAGAATACGTAGCGCAGCCAAAACTCAATGACGCGCTCCGGGAACGACTTCAACGGGACACGAAGTCCCGCCAGGAGAAACAACTCACGTCCGCGATCCTGACGCTCAGCTTCGATGAGCGAGTGTCGAAATATCAATCGGAGCTCATTCAGTTGCTGAAACCCGTCCTCAAGATGCTCGAGCTCGCTAATAATAAATCCATAGACGCGAATCGCCTGCGCGAAACTCTAGGATCGCTCTTAACCCTGATCGCGGCACTGAATGGTACGTGTTCGTCCGACCGGCGGCAAAGTGTCATGAATCACTACGGTATCCTCGGAGAAACAACGAACGATGTCGGCAAAGAGAAAGAACTTTTCACCGAGGAATTCCTAACCGTCCACGGTTTCGCGCTGAAGAAAGATGGACAAAAGAAACTAGTGCCTATGAAAAATCTCAGACCCGCGAAACGAAAACGCAAGGGCAAACAGACGACGAGCGTCGTGGCTGCCAGCGAACCGGAAACCGGTAAGTGAGATGCGCTCAGTCTGTCCGGGCTCCGTCCTGGGTAACTCAGAGAGTTCTGCGGGAATATTTTCTCGAATACTCGGGCACGCTCCTTGAAAAGCTCAAATTAACGGATTCAATTTCTAGATTTCGACGGATCTATCGCTCAAATCATTATTTCCGACAACCTGGACGAAATCACCATGGCTAAGGGAAACTGTATAACGCGACCCGACATTCTGGTGATCCATGAGAATGAAAAAGTTCATCTTGTATGCGAGGAGATCCTCCCCGACCTCAAGGGACAAGCAGGCGTGGAGTCGAAAGAAGTCAATGAAGTCAAATCCGGTTGGTTTCAAGCCCATTTCGAGCATTGGTACTCGCCATACATATGTAGATCAATCTGCTTCATTAGCATCTTCTGAATCCTCCTTCAGGACGGAGCCTCAAGTGCAGTTTCTGCGAGGAAGAATTCGTCGAGGGCTCTCTCCTGACCCAACACGTCAAGGAGAATCACGATGACCTCTTATACGATAGCTCCCCGGCAAAGATTCAACACAAAGGCAACAAGTCGACGAACGTGTCGAAAATAGAGTGTAATGAGTGCGGGAAGCAGTTTTCTGAGCAGGACAAACTCCAAGCGCACATGTTCGTACACACCGGTAAGCCTCAGCCTCCGGATGGAGAATCCGTTCATCTCACAGTTTCGCTGGTTCATCAATTCGAATTGAGTATTGAAATCCGGGGCTACCCGCGAAACTGCCACGGGAATCCGATTGTCGAATTCTAGATTGCTATTGAGATCGCTCGCTTTCTTTATTTCGATTTTCATATCTTTCATTTCAGGAACCAAGCAGTTCGAATGCGAAGTATGCAAAAGACGCTGTCTCACAAAAGCTCATCTGGACCAACACATGAGTTCGCACGAGCGCGACGGAGAACGTTATTATTGTGATCAGTGTGATAAAATGTTCGCCAAGAAAACGAATTACAAGCACCATCTGAAATTGCACTCGGGTGTTAAGCCGTACGCATGCGATGTATGCCACAAAAAATTCGCTACGAAACAGTACCTCCAAATACATCATCGATCTCACTCAACCGACAAGCCATTCGTATGTGATATTTGCGGACGCGGTTTCCAGTTCAATCACGTCCTTGTAGACCATGTCAGAACTCACACCGGAGAGACTCCGTACGTTTGCGAAGTGTGCGGAATGAGCTTCAAAGTGAAACGCACGCTCAAACGACACATGAAAACCCATCTCGATGAGCGGCCGCATACATGCGATGTGTGCAACCGTGGTTTCAAAGTCAGAGCAACGCTTAGAGAGCACATGAAGACCCACAGCAACGAAAAGCCCTACCAGTGTCATCTGTGCGGTTTAGCTTATAAAAGGAATGTGGAGTTGAGGAAGCACGCTTGTTTGAGTAAGCTCAATCAAGATCGGACAATCGAAGAAACTCAGGAAGCCGTCCCGATAATTCCGTTGACGGGAACGGCGGAGAACGCGACCATAATTCTTCAGCCAATGACTAGTCAAACGACAGGCCATTTCGGAATGTTCATTAATTTGTAAATACGGAAAACTGCGGATCACGATACAACGTTCCATGTCTTAGGGTTTACATCATTTTCGGACGGACGGACACGAAAAAAAAGTTGCCTTCTCGAGTAGACAAGCGTAGGATGTAAATAAATTGTTACAACCTTGTTCTTCCGCGACGACTTCTCCCTCCTCCAATGGGGAAGCCAAGGAACTCATGAGGGAAACTCCGGGGACTCCACTCGCGCGATGTCTGTTGAGGTCGGAGGGTCCCTTATAGTGAAAAGTTAATCGTTGTGTCGATTCCGCGGACATCGACATGGGGTGGGTCGCCCCGAGCTCTCAAGGGAAGGATGAACTCAGTCTGGGATACGGGATCGCGTTTGAGGAAAACTCCGGTGAGGTCATTATTACCAGGAGCACTACGCAGCCCTGTGGTAGCACGCGACTGAGTTTCCCTCATTTGAACCGGATCCTCTCAAGGTAAGGGGTTCGGAGATCATCCGGGGTCACCCCCACAGGGAAACGTCTATTGCAATCAGTCCGCGGCAAAAGCGGCAACGCTACGGGGGAGCTCAAGGAAAAAGTCGGAATTCTTCACGAGAAGAATTTACGATCTTGACACCGCGGCCTCCGACCGCTCGAAATCTCCATGTCTAGGTTTTATTTCATAAATCATAGCCAGTATCTTCTCGCGCCCTAGCTTGAGTCCGCATCGTGAGCGCATAGCCTCAAGCCATCTCTCAAGTTGGAGACCTCGAGTCAAAAAGGAAGGAAGAAAGGAGAGATAGCAAGCTACACAGGAGAAATCAGTGTATGCAGCAGCGGGGCTCAGAAACAGCTCGCTCGATATATTGAGGCTCGTTTTGCAAATCGAGAGACAACGGGAGCGATTCTCACTAGTTCTCACTCACACAGTGGCCGTTTCGTTCTTGTCATACAGCGTATACGGGAAAACTCTTTCTGTATGGAGGATGATGATGGAGGAATCAGCCGCTGCAAACGTGACGGCCACGGGATTCGCCAATGCCGACCAAGCTAGTCTCTATAACTTGGTCTTCTTCTATCAATGGAGCTCCGAAATAGAGGGACGAGCAGCGGTTTCGAATTCGCCATCGAGACCGAACACCTCTCAGGGATACAAGTTGTGACTTCGACGTCGGTGATTGTCGGATTCGGAGTTCCAGGAGCGCCGAGGTAAGCTCTCGATATGAGAGAGATTCACACTCGAGACTTGGCATGGATTGATGAGGGTAGGTCCATCAACAACGTTTCCTCTATCAAGCCGACAGAGAAACTCAGAGGCTCGCTGGCTTTCCAGCGCGGTTTTGAGAAAGGAGCGAGCAGACGACTAACACGAAATTCTGACGGCATCTTTTGATTGGCTGGGACCGCTCACACTTTCACGTCACGATACGCTCTCCGACTGTTGTGGCATTCGAGTTTCTTGTCATAGCTACGTAACTACAGGTGGCATTCGGTGTTTCGGGTCTGGCGGCTACGAGTTTCTTCCGACGGAAGCTTTTTCGTAACTGGAGTGCGACAAATTAGCCAGCAAAGTCTTGCAATCGAATTGTGAGGACCCTCGTTGAAACTCGTGTATCTAGATAGAGTCGCTCTGAGTGATCACTCGATATGGCTGTCTCTCTGTCTCATCAATGCTCCGAGCTTACTCTACGGACCCCGCACTAGCAGTGCGTAAATAGGGGGTCGCTCACCCACTAGGAAATCGAGAACCCATGTCGGGTGCTCCTCTCACCCCTAGCCTCAGTACCGGATCAGATCCGTATATAAGCACCCTACATGCGCTCAATAAAATACAGAAGACTACTGACGCTTGTCCGTAAAGGCTATCCTTGCGTTTCCTGACCTATCCTCGGAAGCTCTTTACTCGTTGCCCCAATTAGATCGGAATCTAGTTCTATCAAGCCTAATCATAAATCATAACCAGATCGGAGAAGCCGCGGTGTGGCGCGCCGGACGGGTGCTTGTCGAGAGCAACCAAGGTGCGCGCGGATCGGTGACACTCCGATAAGCCACAGAGGAGCGTCTCGATCTAAGTTGACTTGCACGGAATCCCGAGCGGAAGGAATCCCCCACCAAAGATGAAGGTATTATCATAGCTTGCTTTGTTTTCGGCCTCCCGGGAAACTTCGGACGTTTCCCGGTATGCAGGCTTTTCCATCTCAATCGTCTCATTCCTCAGCTTACCACGGGATTCTTTCGGGATATTTGTGCGCACTCAGTTCCTTGGAATCGCCTGCCGCGATCATGGCTCCTGAAATTCATGCTAAAGCGTGCTACCTTACATAAGAATTCTCGCCTCAGATGGAGTTGTGCTTACGTGTCGCCATCGGAGCTGTCCTAGTATCGATCTGTACATTGGACGCCGCTTTCGCTCAGGCGGACTTCACGGACGAAGATATGGACATGATGGAGGCTAAATGCGAACGTGAGCTCATAGTCCCAGACAATCAGAGAATCGAAATCGACTCGATTATTCCCGGTTTAAATTGCGGAATTCGTTTGTCTTTCAGTGTGTAAATCTGCCGTCAAGATTCTGCACAGGGAAATTGAGCAGACAGATCCTAGCAAGAAAATTACCGTGGGTTCCTTCCGCATGAAAGCGGATGGATCTTCTTCTCAGAGACAGGTTCGATATTTTGCGAAGAACTCCGACGCCGCATGAACGATATTGCGATATCGATTGACGTCGATTCTCAGAAGTTTGTTGCGATCCGTAGGTTCCCTACAAAGGCTCGGAGCTCCACCTGCAAGATCTCCTAGATGACAACTTGGTCTGTGGGAAAATGAGAGACATCGTTCCGGTGACTGACAAGGAAACGGGATCCCTATCGATGCTGAACATGGTAGAGGACATGGACAAAATGAGCGGAGTCAAGTTTTTCCCAAATCCTGATATGAACTCTAGGATGAACAATCTCGTTAGTATTTTGTTGCTTCAGTTTTGTCTTCTCAATTTCGTCTCGGAGAATTGTCCGCTTTTCGTTTAACGATTGTGGATCAGTTCTCGGATTTTTCAATCAACCCCATACCATTAGGATTCCAGGAGGGGGGGGGGAGAGATCGCCTGCGATTACGTTTCCGTTTATGGTTACGCTAGACCGCTAGACTTGTATTAGAGAGGTCACCTCTTATGACTTCACTTCATGGGACTGAATTGGGATCGTTCCAAGCTCATAGAATCGGGCTGATTGCTGTCCTATGGGCGTCGATGATCATGCTTCTCTAAATCCCATGTAGCATATATATCGCCCGGGAGAGCCGGACCCCGAGGAGAAGCGGGAGCGGGAAGAACGAGATGAACGCCAGGTAGTATCCATGAATGGGCTGAGAGCGCTTCGCTTTTGCACTCTGGGCATCGCAGAGGCTGCGACGACTCGCACTGTGCTGCGCGAAATTCTGCCGGAAGTCATTCATGAGCACACAATCAAACCCAGAGGCTAAAGCACTGACGATAACGTTCCCCGCAGTGTCAGGAAATGTTCGGCGACCACGAGGAGGATCTTTTGGAGATTTTCAAGAAAAGCTCGGAGAGGACGAGAACTGCGTACAGACTAGGTCAGGCCTTCTGCCACGAGACCATAAGTGAGTTACCTCTTGTCATTTTTCGCTCAATCCCCTCAATGTGCGCGTAAAGTCTAGGAAGCGACGGACTGTTGTGAGCAAGAACTTTTTCGGAGAGCGTACCGTCATGATGAGCTTTTCGTGCGAACAACTCGCTCGTTGCGATTCGTCGAGTTGGGGAATGGTCTTCCTTTTCGAGTTCTCGCTCCATTGATCGGAAGAGACTCATCACCTCGAGGGGCTCCTTGTATACATCACGTGATAAAGCAGGAACGCTTCCATCCGTGGTAGATATCCCTCACTCACGGCAAGGTTCCCCGGCGAGGAGAGAGCTCGAATCCCGTCGGAAATATCTTGAATTGTTCTATGATCTTGCATATTCTTCATTCCATAGATTACTGTCCGATGGCTGAGAAGCTGGAAAGTTTGAAAACTCCCGAGGACGACGAGGATTTGCCACAGGAAGAGGAAGAAGAATACGAATCTCCCTCGCTCAACGCATTTGATCCACGCGACGAGCTTTGAATCTCTAGATTATCAACTGCCGGATTGTTTCGCAGATCAGTGCAATTTTAAATTGAGGGTTTCCTGTGTAGCGAAACCTCAATGCCGTGTGTTCTATAAACTCTGTATGTCAAAAAGAAATTCCTCTCTGTCTACCTAGAATATCAGAAAAGGATGTCGTCTATGGTACCAACATCTCACGATCAATGGCGGTAAGTCGTCTCGATGGAGCAAGCGCTTCATCGGGTTCCTGCTCCATCACGCACAGCACCATGAACCTACAGTACAGAGCGCTGTTTCTTCCGATCATCCGGCTGGTTCATTAGAATATTTCCTCATAGGTTTCCCTTTGTCGGAGCAGCCAGTTATGCCTTCGTTCCGAAGGTCTGACTACTTTTCTTCCTAATTGGACATCTTACGGATGAGACCCGAGTCGTCTGGATGTGTAGGAAGCCCCGGCGAGTTCATGCTCTCCAGCCAGTGAGGAATGCATCGCTGATCGGAGTAGACGAAGAGCTATTTGCCTTGTCACACTTCAATAAATAAAGCCAGACTTACCTTGGTATTCTGATAAGAATGAGGTGCCGACGTGGAGACTCGGTGTCTCTACCGTGTATGGGTTCGTAGTTGGGGCCCATCAAGCGGAGCGCGAGAAAGATTCCTCCTTCCCCGGCTCCTTGACGAGGCTCGTGGTGCCATCCTGGGCCTTGAGAACCATTTCCTCCTTCTCCTCGATAATGTCAGAACAGGCTTTTCCTCTTCTTTGGGGGTAGTCCTAGGCATGCGGGGGAATCACCGGACGGCTACCATAGGGAAATGCCTCGCTGGACTAAACGCGACGCGGTTCTCCTCAAAACAAACTTAAAGATGATGCAAAACACATATACGCTGAGTTGACTCCGAGCGGTGTCGTATGTCAACACTTTGGACGCGATTGCCCAATGCCCATTGGCGGTTTCACTGGAGTCCCACGTGGTAGCTAGTTCCGTGTGCTGTGTCGTTGGAGTCGTTCTGAATTCGATTCCGCCCACAGTTCGCCCGTCAAGTCAGAATACTCAACGATCCACACTCTCGCAACGTTTCCCTCATTCCAGAATCTCGCTCCCGTCGGAACTTCCAGAGAAAACTCCCGGACTCAGGGATGCAACTCTCGGGGGAAGCCTTTACCGTGATTTCGCAACCTCCAAAAGTTGAAATATCTAGGACAAGCTTCTCCGAAATGGGTGAGGATACCGCTCTTCGAAGCATTCCGCTTCCAGCAGATGTACTTGCGGGAGAGAGAAATCCGATCATCAAAGCGGTAAGAGGATCGTTCCCGAATTCTCGGAGGAGCTCGGCAAGCGGCGGGTATCGAAGTTGGAAGTCTCTTTGCGGGAGGTGTTGTTCTCGATTGTTTGTTTCTCAACCAGAGGGCGGCTCTACGGCGGCCTGTCACAGTTCTCCTCCGGCGGGGCTCCCACTCCATGGAACAAGCACAAAGGGAAGCATAGCGAGCTTATCGCAGCTACTGGTGCGAGGCTGTGCTCGCCACCCTAGAGTCAAGGGCTACGTAGCTTGACAGCAATCGTGGTTATTCCCTAGCCCTCAGCACCATCAAGTTGAGGGATTTGTCGCCGTTGAGCTCAACTGACGAAGATAGAGCGCCGACAGTAGGGGGACAAATTCCTCTCTCCTTCTCCCAGTAGCAGATTCCTCCTCCTGAGGACTCAGTCTGTCCTCAATGTAACCAGGGAGCAAGGAGGAGCGCGGTCCGCCGCGCGGAAACGACTTTGTCTACGGATGTACCCGAGGAAAATTATTTCGGGAGCTTTTTTGAAGCGTCCGATATCACACGACAGCCGAGACGCGGACGAGCCTCGATGTCTAGCCGGGCTCCAGCGGGACATGAGCCCTGTTTTGTTTTCCGTCACCGACGGACCCAGTCTTTGAGGTTCGGAGTTTCATGTGGCAGGCGCCGAGCCAGCGATGTCTAGGGACGACAGAAACGCAGTGACGACGTTTCCCAGGCATGCATCCGCGCACAATCGAAATGCAAATCACACCCCCCATACACTCCCTACGGAACCTTCTCGCTTCCTGTGCAGTCTACAATGTTCCGACTCGATAACAATGATCATGCATGATGTTTCCGCCCGGAATCAACAGATCCGGGATGATATCATCTTGAGAGCACGTCGCGCGTCGCGATTCGCCTCGCGCCTCAAGTCAGCTTGTACGAGTCTGGGTTGAGTATCTCTACATCTTCGTTCGAACGGAGCCTGCATATGCAATCCTTCGGTCCATAGCACCCCGGCGTCACACACTGTAGAGGTAATACGGTAATAAACCAGCCGGGTCACTCAGCAGGTGCAGCCGCGGTTCGCTTGTCGTCTGTGACTGCATTCTTCCGCATCGATTGCCCACACAATAATTCTCCTCACGGACCTTTCTCGTGCATCGCTATGAACCTCGCGAAAACCGAGACTCGGTGATTTCCGCTGATGTGTTTCCCGAGCTGCCCTTCAAACTTGGGTTTCGGGACGAAAAGAAATGTATTTCAGTCTCTCGTCGACGACTTAAAAAATATCTTGTCGCCTCATGCGCATGGGGAACTCAAGAGCGAACGGCGGAGTAAATCGAACTTCGTAGCTAAAAGTCTTCCGAGGGAGACCAGCAATAATCAAGACTTGGTTCCCCGACATTGAGTACCCAAGCTAGAAACTTCACGAAGGGAGCTCGGGGGGTCTCAACCCGATCTTCCTCGCTCCAAAGAGCTCAGTGACCAGGGATTACACTAGACAAGAACTTGAGCGCCGCATAAAGTCCAGTTTGCCTCTTCCTCAATATTTGACTGTCTTCGCGCGCCAATCTAATAGCGAGCTCAATGAGCAGTGGATTTGAATTAGTCCGCTTTTTCCATAGAGTCTATAGGGGAACTTCCGATGGCAACTAAACGACCCATGCCGATGACCGTTTTCCACCCTGTGAATCCACCAAGTCCCCACGGCGTCGAACGATTGGCAATCCTCCACGATCGGCTCCACCGACTCACGCAGCCCGCCTAGATACGGTTTGTCCGAGCGGACTCCGTGAAAGCCTTCATTTATTTAAGATATCTTGCGCGGAGTAATCCCGAAACTCATCCAACACACTAGTTATTGCTCTCATCCTAGAGAAAATCCGAATTCTAGCGTCGTAGTTATTCCGGCGTGGTATATCCGGGCCGCTTAGCCATAGAAAGGATTCATAGCACCATCGAAATGCTCCCTCAGTTAGGCGTCGGGATCCGTGAGGTCGTTCGGAATCCACAGGGGGCGACGAGGTGAGGGAGGGAATTCTGCAACTCCTTAGTTGACTCCCGAAGCTCCGAAAAATGTCCTAAGACTTGGGCGCCTGAAGTCTGGGGACATTCCCGGATCCGAAACTCCGAAGAGTCGAGAATGAGAGAACGCGAGCTTCTCTGAGGCCGAAGAGGGCCTACTCTGAAAATTTAGCAATCCGCCTAATGGCGGTCGCAGCTCTGAAGACCGTGAGTTTCGAAATTGATGATCCTTGGCAGTTGCAGAGGGAACAAACACGGATGCCATCTGTGAGAAACGTGAAGGTCAAGACAGCAAGCTTCCTCCAAATTCTGGACAGCATCGTCTCTTCGAGAATCATTCACAATATTTCTCCTAAATTACAGCTCATTGAAGACAACCTGTAATGTTTGTAAGCTCGCGCCACCGGGCAGCGCCCTCTTTAGGGACAATCGAAATCTCAGGATAAATCACCAGCGAACACTCGTTCCCTGGACCCAGCGCTGTCATTACACAACCCCCATAATTCCATAATTCCGATCCATAATTTGTGGGTGGCTAAGAAGAGGGAGAAAAATAATCGTTTGTGTGAATCGCCTTTAACAATTCCGTACATGATTCAGTCAGATTCCCATGTCGATATAGCGGAGCCGTTTCCTCTCCAGCCGGTCTGAGGTGTTCGCGTAGTTTCCCGCTGATCCAATACTTGGATTCGAAGAGATTAATGAAAACAAGCCCTATTGTGGTTTGGGCAGCGAGGGCTTGAGCTTTGATCAATCTACCGACGAACATCCCTTCGCGGAGCGAAGTGCCTGCCTTCGTTAAGTTCGGATCCCGAGCTCTCGCCACTCGACGAGGCCGATCAAAGCTTGAGCGTCACGGATTGCGACTCCATTCCAATTATGCAAATGAATCCGGCTTGTAAATCCGATGCTTCTTACCTACGGAACAAAACTCAGTTCGAAAAACCAGAGGTTTCTCCCCGCCTTTCATGCAGCAAGTTCGTACATACAGGAAACCCTTAGCGAGAGAAGCCTTCCCTGACGGAAAAAATGGAACATTTTTTTTCGGCATCGGTCATTTCAAGACCCTCCGAAATCGGTCATTCATTGAGCTGTATCAGTGATATATTCCTCCCCGTGGGTCTCGCCTTGGGTCTCATTGCGCCCGTCCGCGACAACGAGGAGAAAATGCTGGAGTCATCAGGGCTTTCAACGCCACAAGGACGTTCTCGCGAAAATATGACGCCGGCGCCGCCTGCAAGTAACGCGTGCCCGTAGGTCGGCGGCTGCTTAGATTCAAGATGGAAACAATCTCTTTCCCAGAAAACGAGGGTGCTCCCGCCCTCCGTGCCGTCCTTTTGCGAGAGCCAGCTTCTCCCCAAACGGGCGCGATGAGTGAGAACTCGGCCTTCTGTGCGAAACACGCCAGCCACGAACTCTGCACTGAACAACGGCACACGCCAAATGGTCTCCAGGCCTCGGCGCGCTCGCCTAGTTCCCAAGGTACTTCAGTGTTGGCCTATAATAGTAAATAGCGTTCCGTCAATCATGCACGCGGCCGTGCCGCCGCAAAAGTTTCGTTGACGTTACTCCTCCTTGTTCCCTTCCAGCCATGCTCCGAAATCTCTGCAAGCCTCCACAGGTTTTCGGCATGCATCGGTTCCACGAATCGAACCTACGACCGATCCACCGCTCGATCGGGGCGAATAAGAACAACAAGACTGAGATCTTTCGGTAGCCTTCGCGACCGTGGTTCCAGAGCACAATTTTTTTTTTGATTTTTTGATCCGTGAAACCGCTTGACAGTCGAGGGGAGCCGGAAAAACGTCCTGACCGCGGTTCAAGTGATGA